TTTCTGGCCAACTGGGGTCCCAGGCTCTGGATTTACTGCTATTCCAGGGCCCTCTCCTTATCTCACCCCCTTCCATAACATCATGATGATAGCAGATCCACTGGAGGATTAGAGAGACCTGCTCCTTCCTGAAGTGTGATTAGCAGAAGCCTCCTAAATGCTCCATTGCACTGCTTGTACTATGGCTGCAACCATCCTCTCATGTCTGCTATTATTTAGCTGTCATAACGTCTCAGCACAGAAGTTTTCTATAGCTGGAAGAATTACTTCAATAGCAGACACTCAGCGGCATTGATAACTTACAGCACTCATTAGCAAGATGTTCCTGGAATAATACCACTTGGCCAAACTTCCAGGTAGGACTTGGCAGACAAAACTTTCCTGGTCCCATGAACTGAAATGAAACTGCAATTTCCTTGGCCCAAACTGAAATTGAAAGTATGCAAGCCTTCTTATGAGCTAGAAATATTTAGTTCCAGTTCAACTGACAGATTTGCTTGTCATTTAGCAAAATGGATTTGAGCATGGCCCTTTTTCAATCAGGTTTCATATGAATTATTTTCAATTTTCACACAAAATACAGGAACTAGATAGAAGAAATTTATCTTCCATAAAAAAGTAGGATGGAGTGCTCTGGGTGTTTTCAGTTTGGGAATTCATAAAACTGACCATTTCCCAATTATGTTTCATTCTGATCAATCTCTATTTTCATGACAAAACCAAGAACATTTATCAGTGGAAAAATCCCACACAGCTGCCTTCTGTGTAGGTCAATAGGGATTCTGCATAGGACCAGACCCTGACAGCGCATCTCTTCCTTTTCTCCTATGTTTTCAAATCAGCTTTTTTTTTACTGAAAATATGTTTTCTGACTTGATGCTGCTGCTCATTTCATACGCTGAAGTTGGCATCCTGGATTTGTTAGAAATGTATCCCCATACATGGTGAGGGTATCATCAAAGACCCAGATCACTGGCAGGATGGAGCAAATGACAGGAAGAGAGAAAAATTGCAAACACTGTCATACAAATACTCTGAAGCACAGAGATAACCACTGCTCATAGGGAAGCAGAAGTACTTCTAAATGGTGTGTCCTTTTCTGAGTTTTCCAAGCAGCATCACTGCGGGTACTTTAATGACATGTTTACATTTGTTAATTCCATGCCAAGGTTTGGCAGTCACCCACACAGGAGGTAATTTGAGTTACTAGAAGCAGAAGTACCACTTACAAGCTTACCTCCTCCTGTTCATCTCGTGTGGAGGTGGGCTGGGCAAAGAGTGACAGCTGGCCCTTTACTGAAGGGCTGCCATCACACTTAAGTGATTTGTGGGTTTTTTTATTATTCCAGCACACTTATATGAAAATTTGTCTTTTGTCACAAGTTTCAGTTGATGACTGGAAGCTGTTCAGCATCCTGCAAGGACTCACAGCCTGTGGGCACTGTCAAGAGTAAATCGCAGCACCTTGGTGAGAGAGTAAGTCACAATAATCGAAGCCTACATTTTTAAAAGGAAACACAAAGGATTCAGCAGTGGCCCATTTGATGTTGGGCAATGGATCCCACACTTGAAGGAGCCCTGGGTGTCTTCCTTCTGCCTTTCATAAAACGTGCTACTGCTTTTCAGTCCAGCACCTAGGGGACAGTTGCTCTTCACAAAAACAAACACATGACAGCGCACTACAACGAACCCAAAGAAATTAAGTCTGAGCACTCAGGCCAGAAAGAAGACTGAGCACACACTTGGAACAAACTACTTCTTTTCTCCCACAGGTGATCAAGGATGAAATGCTTTGAAATGCATGAAAAAAAGGGTTTGGGGGTGAAGAAGCACCCCTCCCCTCTCTGGGAGTACACATGCAGCCTCAAGGGTTATCAGTCTGCAACCCTTCACTAGAAAGTTAGATTTGCTCTAAGTCACCTGAAGTATATTCCCACCTACTACCACTTAAAGCTTGAAAATTTTGGATGAACTTCCCATTTTGGGTTTTCTTGACCATGAGGGGATCAGATGGGTCTAACATCATTGCAAGGTTCAGTCAGTGGCCAGAGTCCTCTGACATGGATTGCCAGGGATCTGTCAGCTCAGGTCCACCTGAGCAGCAATCAGAGTAGAGGCTGCAGGGCAATGCTAGACGTGTCACCTGTATTTCACATTGGGAAAAAAGAATCCGTTATGTTTCAAGTGTAAATTTAAAGAGGAAGTACTAATGCTGTGAAGAGCAGCATGGGGCAGAGGGAGGCAGCAGCAAATGGTGGCTCTGAGTTGGGGTCACATTTCTCACCTTTCACAGTGCAGACCCAGGGCTGCCAGCCTGCCTGCCTACCGGTACCCTGCACAACCATATACTGCAGGACACTAGGACTAGTATAACCGTAAAAGAAACAGAGCTGTCCTGGGGAGAGCACAACAAGCACCATCTCTGATCAGAGAGGTGATACAGATCTTTGATGGGATTCATACGTTAAAATGGCTTGATTTAACAAAATTACTTTTGTTTTATTCCTGTCTCCTAGCCTTGTTTATTTTTATTTTCATCCCCTCTCTCTCTGAGAATTAGTAGCAGTTTCACAGAAAGTGAAGCCCATCTTTGCACTGCCATGACCAGGCAGCTATGGGCAGAGTGCACACTAGAAGCACTCTGTTGTGCTCAAGTGGCGCTCTGTAGGCAATGCAAACTAACCACCAACCCATGGCAAGCTGTTAACAGGGAAATAAATGGTAACCAACCTGAAATACTGAAAAGTAAAAGTGATGATCTGTCTCTCTTTGTTGTCAACACAAGCTCACATTTGCCTTAGTACAGCTTCTGTACACAGCAAGGTCCAGTAGGAAACTGATACCCTGCATGTCAATGTTTCCTCTTTCCCAAGGAATAGAAAATACCAGTGACAATTGTGTGGTGGCTGCTGGACTTATCCATAGTAAGCATTGTATAATGAAGATAAGAGGTGTGAATTTAATTTACTGTGTACTTTATAACTTAAGTGATGCTTACTGTTTTCCTGTCTCTTCTCATCAGAAGTGTTATTTTGTCCTATTAATCCCAAAGATAGGGTAGAAAAATAAATTTGACTCTTCTTAATATTTTCATGGCTCTCCCTCAAAATTACTAGATCATCCCTATCAAAAAATTATTCTTGCTTTAAATCAGTGCTATTTATTTGTCTCCTTTGGGTAGGAAGGAGTTACCCAGTTTAAGAACCCTTCCTTACATACATCACCCCAACTGACCACTTTACATTTCCAGTTTACTAATCCATCATAATGGGACTTTTTGACTTCATCACTGATTTATGCTCTCCCCTTTAGTTTCTTTCTTGTTTTATTCAGCCATGCACTTGCTTTGTGATTCAAAATTGTGCATATGTCCAAGCAAGCCAGGGAGAGACTCAGTTTCCATTTTGCTACATCTTGTCCTGTCTGCCATTTAGATGCTTCATCCCATTCAAATTCTCTGTACACAGCCTTGCTGAAAGCATATATGTCTGATGACGTCAGACAGACATGACATAGCATTTACCTGCTTGTGTACCCCATCCCCCACAGGCCCACCTCGCCAGTTCTGGGTTTCCCTCAATGAGTGGCATCACCTTACCAAGCACACCAAGCTCTGTGACAGCAGACACTGACGTGGACTTCGACTGCACCTCCACACCCCACAGTCTCTTCCCTTCTCTATACCTCTGTTTCTTCATATGACATTTTCCAAGGTCCCCACTCTTTTACTGTGTGGTTTCATATAAAGCAGAGTTGATCTGTCCAGCAAAGTTCTTCCCTAGTTTTGCAGGATTTACTAATTAATTCCTCCACTTTCACAGCTTTTACTACTCAGTTTTTCCTCTTGAAGAAACCAAATTATTATCCTTTCTTTTAAACCTCTTTCAACCACTGTTTCAAAACTGCCATTAAAAAAATCCCTACTGACACAAAAATAAATACTCTTTTTGAACTGCCTTTTCATGCCAAGGGAAGCAGAAAGCAAACATTCATTTCTCTACATGAACAGGCTAACATGAAAAGGAAAATAAAGTTATACATTTACCTGATGCTTTTAATAAAACGCATAACAGATTATTTTTGTCATCAGAGGTAACTGTGTATAAATGTTTTCTGTACATATCCATATGTGGTTTATATTGTAGCTATATAGTTTGTATAGACACATGAAAAAAGCCTTGCACTTACCTTTGAGAAGTAACATTTATCCCACGTTCAGTAAAATAGTCTCAGACAGGCACTTAGACCTTCCTTCTATGCCGTGCATCCTTTTTTTCAAAAGCAGATATAATCAGAAAAATCCTGGTTGCTCTCTAGCAAACCAAAATGCAGAACAGATTGTTTGTCAGACGCAGCCTGATTCAGTAAGTCCAAGTGTGTGGATCCCTGAGACTCCTTTTTCAGTAATATCCAAAGCACAAAAAAGGGGGAAGAAAAAAAAAAAATAAAAAACACCCCCAAAAAAGCCCCCCCCCCCCCCCCCAAAAGAAACAACAACAATAAAAAAGTAAATAACTTGTTCTTTTCTTGTTTGGTTTAAAAACCCCAGTCTTGGACGACTAAGCAGCCTGCAGGCTTTTCAAGCATTCTGATCCTAGTGCATCCCAAGGTAACACATGTATTTTGGTACTGTAAGTCTTCAAGTTCATACTAGGAAGCCCGGATTCTGTATATGTGCGTGCGTGTTCAGGAGGGGGGTCGAGCTGTATCGTGGGGAGAAGAGAGACAGGGAGATACACAGACACGCAGAGGTGGAAAAAGGAAAAACGGCAAACTGGAGTGATCTCACTCAGTGCTCTAGATGGCAGAGTCTGCACGGCTTGTAAGACAAGCAATGTGCACACACGATCAAAACAAAGGAAAAAAAAAAGAGAGAAAAAGAGACAGGGAAAAAAAAAAAAAAAACAACAAAAACCCACCAAAAACCCACCCGAGAGAACTAGCAGGCAGCTTCAGGAATTTCTTCTTACCTCTTCTGACGATGCAGCATACAGTAAGTGCTTTGTAATGCATGGGAATCCTTGCAGGCACGACTCAGACCCCTCACTTCTGAAACAAATATGTAGCACAGGAAAGAGAGGAAAATCAGACACCCGAGCAACGAAGGCTACCAAAAGAAGCTATTAAATAAGTAAGAGTGTCGGAGGAGGCTTGAGTAGGAGGGAGAATAGCTGGTACAGAAAGAGGCATCCAGACTCCTGGTCTTAACACAGATTGTCTCTGTAATTAGGTGGCAAAGCACTGCCTTCTAAGCCACTGCGTAATAATAGAAACCTAAGCAGCCTGACATGCTAAACCCTCAGGAGCTACACTCAACGTTGTCAGTGCAAAACGTGTCAGTTCTCTGAGGGCGGGGAAGCTGAGGGAAAAGGGAAGGAGGGAGAAATTTTACTGCAAAATGCACAAGCTGCAGCTGCAAAGAGCTCTCAGGTGCTGCCAGTGCCTGAAATGTTATAGTCAAAGCTGTATATATCTGTATATATACGTATATAGAGAGATATACAATATGTGGTACCAAGGACATGGTTTAGTGGCACTAGGTTAATGGTTGGACTTGATGGTCTTAAAGGTCTTTCCCAACCTTAACTAGTCTATAATTCTGTGATTCTAGTAACACTGTCAGCTCCATTCATGCTATTAAATACTAGAAGAATTTGCCCTTGTTATATCTTAGTAACTTAAATGAAAAAGAGTATGTACAAAGGTTTTCTGTGTTAAATACTATTATTTCTAATGCTGGTGTCAAGAAGTAGTTCTCCCTTTGTACTGAATAATATTGGAATGTCTAAATAAAACCTGAATTAAGATAAAAGAACTCAGGAGGATTCATCAGCCTTTCCCATTTACTGGCAGGTTCCTCTCTACAGCCCCCCAGACACAGAGACACAAATTTTCTTCTGCCTTCTTTAGTTGAAGAGGCTTCTGCACAGAGCCAGGGAAAAGATGAGCACTGACTAAATAAGAGTAGGCAAAACCCCAGCTCGTTCAAATTACCACACACCAGTATCAATACTCCAACAAACAGAACAATTTATAATGTACATGGAAGGAATAAAGAAAAAAAAAAAAAAAACAAGGAAGAAGGATAATTTTACAGTGGAAATTTACCTGGAAATTGCAGCCCTGGCTCTTACATATGGTGGGACACCATTTAGTCCAGTATCCTGCTTCTGGACAGTCATCAGTACTACACACCTCCAAGGAATTTGTACAGTCAGGGCTAGACATCCAGGTCTAACCTGTTCATGGGCAAAGCTCCTCCTTAATCCCTGTTCTTTAAAGATTAGTTAGTTCACTGAAGCATGAGCAGGAGGACTGTCTACCTCTGCATTTCCAGATTAAACATGTAAGGTCTGATTCTGAGGTTGTTTGTAGTTAGTGTAAAGTACATGTCTTTTTAGGCATCCCAAATCTAAAGAGAAAAAAATCTTCTGATGCTTTGTAAATAATCCAGTATGAAAAAAAGGCATGAGTTCAGAAAAAGCTCCAGTATTTCAGTCTGGAGAGTGAGAAGCATATTGTTATAGAGTCATCTACCCTAGTTACTCTCCTCATTTACTCCTGGTGGAAACACCAGATATATCTTCAGAGGCCATCCTGTGCAGGTAGGAGAACCATGTCACTCAGCTAGTAGGTAGGTATTAAATTTGGCCTCTAGAAGGTCAAACTAGACTGAATTGAAAACTTTGGAGACTTCTTGAAAATGATTGCATAAAGTGACACATACTTTTTTGGAGGGGCTTATGAAGAAGATTCTGCTGCAAAATTCAGATCCCTTACTGTTATCAGTCTCACTCCTCTAGTCTATGCCTGCTGCATTCCTTGGGGGACCCTCTGTACCTCTAAGGTGAAGCTGCAGATGTTGCACATAAGAGAGTTACAGTGTGCTAAAAGAGAGGAGTACAATTGCCTGTTCTGCAGCCTATACAGCTTTCCTTGGTTTTATGTGGAGCAATGCTGAAAGGCTTTTCTTAGGAGGAAGACCAAGAGTTACAGTTGTTCATAACCTTACTGAGCACTGAAATAAACAGTGTGGCCAAAGAAAGAGTTGAGAGGCTGGTAACTGCTAACTAGGCATTAAGAATCTTAAAATATTACTTCAATTACTAGATGGCTAAGACATGAATTTAGGAAGCTAACTTTAAACAAAGCTCCTGGGAATCCTGGGCCAACCATGTTGGCTAGAAAATCAAATCGAAGCTCTAATCATGTCAGTGACTTCTAAAATAAATGTCAGTGCATCACAGACAGAGAAGACATCTCTTAATGACATCAGGAATTAATAACAGAATCTGGGTCTAGTGTTTCAGAGTCTGGTTTGAAAGCAAAGTGTTGTTTGCAATGACAGAAATCAGTGCACTCCAAAAATCCACCAAAAACCTTTCACCAACTACAGTTGTGACAGTGATGATTTCCTGGGAAAAAATAAAGGTGATACAATCCTGGCAAAAAGTCACCCAAAAAGGATTTTCATGAGGCTGTGGTGTGGTGGGTTCCCAGTGTGCTTTCTAGTTTTCCTTGATAGCCTTCAGACTTAAGTCAGAATTTTCTGGTGTTCATCCCATAGCTTCTTATCTCTGCTAATCATCCCTGATATACACTGCTTTTCTCCCAACTAAGGAGCTTCTCAGTGAATCAGCCTCTTTCTTCTTTGGCCGTTCTAGCGGGAAGGGGGCTACCGCTTTCATTTTGTCTTTTGCTCAGGCCTTCCCTCTTTCCAATCCTGCCTTAGCTCAGAGTCAGCCAAGATGCTTGCTTTAAATACATCTGCTCTCATTTCCACCTCCTGTGGATTCCTGTTGCCACCCAAAAAGACACAGAAGAAATCTTGTTCTGCTGAGGTAGTGAACTTCTCACAGGCCCACAACACTTGCCCCTGGAAAAAGCTTTTAAGGTTCAGTATCCCATTCCGGACTTAGATCTGGAAAGTACGTGAGAGGCCATGACTATAGATTATTAACTCCGTGTTTACTGAACCTTGCTGAACAGCTGAATCTTTCAGTGATGCAGCAGTTTCTGTGCCCCACCAAAGTGCATAATTTGTATATGAAAGGATCTTATAAAGCCCTTACAGCCACATTCATGTAAGTTCCCTTTTACAATGACAACCAGCAAAAAGACCTATCTTGACACAGAAGTTTTGTAATAGGGATGTTCTCCTTTAACATACAGTGCCAGGTACAATACCCAAACCCAAGAAAAGTGTGAACTAGGACAGCAGAGCATGACAAAAAAGTAGAACCTATATGCTTTCGCAACCTCCAGGGCAACTTTACCTGCCACAAATATTATTCTCCTTTCCAAATCTAGCAGAGAACATGTTGAAGCCTTTAGCCGTCTGATTGATAATACAATTTAAAAATTACATGTAGACATTAGCAATTCCCATTTCTTGCCCATCCCCTTCCAGACTGAACTAGTCAGCACTGGTCCACATGACTCTTTAATCAATGGCTATCAATCAATTACACTGATTGAAGGACAATTTAAAAAACATTTGGTCTGCAACCCTACTGATGAGAACAGTTATCAGGAGCTGAATCTGCCTGGTTTCAAACACTGGAGATTTGAGAAAAAAACCCTGTAAATGTCTTGGGTGCTGTTCAGCTCAGGTCTTTACAAATCACTGAATAGCTGTTTGCACATGTATATGCCAGTATAAAATACCCTTCTCACATCCCCCACCCACACATCCCTCTGCTTTTAAAAGCAGCCCCAGCCAACAGACAAAATGAATATGCATTTTTTCCATTTCATGCATTTTATCGTGGGGAAATCCTAGTCCCAGATTTCTAGACCCAGAGACAGAACAGAAAGCAGGAGCTGTTTCACAGTGCAGTGGGAAAAAAAAAAGGATTCTTGAGGTTGTTAATGAGACAAAGGCAGCACAGAAGGTCTCTTTTGCAAAGCACTGTTATAAAAAGCATAGGAAATATGAAGATGAGCTTCTTTAAAAACACTCTAACAACAGTCTTTCATTGTCCATCTTGTAGTTTAATGGAGAAGGGTTTCCAAATACCAGGAAGCATTTTTTTTTCAGATCATAAAATCAGTTACATATTCATAATCTACTCTATTTTAAGCATTCATCTCAGCTGGCATAATCAGGATACGTATGCTAGCCTTAAGAAGTTCCACTATAACTTTGTAGATGTTCTGAAAGAAGGTCAGCATAATATTCTTATCCAGGGTTATTATTCTTTCCAGGTTCTCCCCTTACAAGCAAGGAAATCCTTGTACTTCTGTTTTACATAATCCGATGTCTGGCTCAGTGAGTGAAATTTAATGCCCTTTGATTGATAGGTTAGGACCAGAAGCAATTGTTACAGGCATCTCATTTCACCTTCTGAATAACCTCAGTTATATAAATCCTCTCTGTGGCTCCTGCATCCATCTTCATACTACTGGCTGATATAGAAAATATCTTTTATAAAGACAGTTGCTTGATTTAATGATTTCAAGTGATGGAGCATTCATCCCCCACTCTTTTTATAGAGTCAGTCCAATTTGTAATTGCTGTCATTATGAAAAAAATTCCACACCTCAGTTTGTTGGTCAGCAGATTGTCTGTTATTAAAAGCCCAAAGTGATAATTATGAATTATAGCTGGAGATCTCCTGATCAGAAAACTCAAAATGAGGAATAACAGAAATTTCTCCCAGATAAGTAGATTTTTTCCACTGAGGGCAAAAAAGTGCTACTCAAGACCAATGCAGTCTAACTAAATAAACAAAAAAACCCAAACAACTAAACTTCTTGTTTAATGGCCATCTATTTCAGCACAGTGTTCATCAGAATAAAGAGACTGGCCTTGTCAGTGCTTTCCCATTTCTTTTGATTTGGTGGAAAATACATTAGCTTCCACAGTATACCTGGAGGCAGTGGTACTCTGCCGTCTTCCCTTCGGGAAGCACGACCTCATCCTGGCAGGTTTGAAGCCTCTGGCATTGATTCTTTCTGTGGGCAGAGTGCGCCTAATCACCAACAAAATCCAGAGGAGCAGCAGATGCTTCACATGCAGTCAGTTCAATAAAGACATGGCACAAGATGAATGTGGATAAGAATCTTCATTTTATATTTTGACCCTTGCCACATAGAGCAAGGTATAGTAATGTTTTTTACTATTGAAAG